AGATTCGTGTAACATTTGAATTGGTACAATTGACCGAATCAATTAAAAGTACCAAGAGACATGTAATTTAATTTTAATTGACCTTAATTTCATGTTTTCCGGTATCAGTTAAAATGCGTAAATATGTATGTGTTGCTTGGCAGATGGTAAATGTACCTGCATTTTTATCGTGCTTTATTTGTATGCGTGCATTTTCTCATCGTGAGGTAAATTAGTTTCCGATATAGGTGTCGTACAATGCAGGTCGTACAATGATAAATTAATTCGACAGTAAGATTTACGTACGAGTACATATCCTGTAATGAACAATTTATTTTTCTAATGTTTTTCCTTGCACGACATAAACTTGAAGCTTTATCTAAAAGTATTAACCGTCCATAGTCGAGACAGAACATCGAACATGTACAAATTTGAATTTTGCATTGTATAGATACGTAAAAAAATTGTATATATGTGCATAGTCAGCTGTAATTCTCGACGTGGGTAGATTTGTTATTGTCAACTTGAAATTCATGCGGCATCGATATCGGAGTACAACACTTTACCTTGGATTTTATTCTTTCCACGATATACAGGGTGTACCATCTAACTTTGTCGCCTCGAATATCTCTATCATTTTTAGAGACATGAAAAGATTTTGTCAATGGAAGTCTTATTCAGTAGAGACCATAACATGGCAGTAACAATTTTTTTTATCCACCTATAAAAAATCTGTCATACCATGGCACTAAACAATTTTTGTTGACAAAGTCTTTTCATATCTTCATATGAAATATTTCAGGTGATAAAGTGTTAGATGACATGTATGTATAAGCGACAGGACTTATTGTTTTTTCTATATAGTTGATACCAGTAACAGTTTTCAGAAACTTGTTTTTTTTTTTTTATTGAAATCAAACATTCAGAAAGTATTTCGTATTCCTTTTATTTTTTTTTTCTTATAATCAATAAGTAAAGTTTAGACAAAGTTTAGACTTTTTTTTATTCAGTTATTTTTGTCTTACTTGGTTTAGGTTACTATTAGGCGAGTCACAAGATCTAAATATTGAGAGGGAAAGTCAATGAAAAATTGTTGTTTTTTAATAACGTGTAGTAGCTGCTTGGTTTTGTTAGGTTTTATTCTTGCAACTTGCCTAAATAATTCTAGGTAATCAATAGATTTGACGAAAAGAGAAAAGAAAGAGATAGCCTTACTGGAGGTTAAGGAACATAAACATGTTTAATTTTTGTTGCGTGCATCATTGGTGTCTTGTAAGAGTTGTACGTTTGTGCTCAATGCCTGTAACAAATTTAAAACAATATTATTTTTCCGTGTGTGAAATTAAATGGAGAATGATGTTTTAAAGCTAGCTTGATCGCATCGAAACGATGTCTCTATAAACGTAAATATTCCCCGTAAACAAGAGTTCAAACTCGCATGTTTTGTAAAATTATTTGTATACAGATGACAATTTTTATACTGACAACAAAAGAATACGTGACACATTGTTGTAAAGAATCTCGCTAGTTAAATTATAGATAATCCATTGGTGACTGTTATTACGATATTACGTTGTGTATACGGGTGAAAAAAAAAAAAAAAA